TTAAATCTATATATATAAAAGAAAGATGTGTTATTGTTACACCACTTATAACTCAAGAACGGCTGAACCGATTTAGATGAAAATTGGCAGGGAGGTAGTTTAAGGCCAGGAGAAGGACATAGGCTGAACCGATTTAGCTGAAAATTGGCAGGGAGGTAGTTTAAGGCCAGGAGAAGGACATAGGATACCTGTTTATCCCGTTCACGACAAAGTAGGTTTTGAAATTATCAAATTTTTGATATAAGAAAATATTTTATTAAAATTTAACAGATAGAAATATAACTTAGTTAATGTGTTTTTAAAAGTTGTATTAGATCAATATAAGTTTGTGTTGCAATAAATATCGTTTTTAATCAATAAAACTACCTGGTTGTTGCAAACTCAACAAAATAAATAATTAACAATTATAATGTATGGTATGGTTGAAAATTTGAGTTTTTAGTTTTTTAATAATGCCACGACCAAGACGATCGAATCTTTCCCGACAAAGCCGTAATGCAAGAAGAATACGAAATACTGCAAATTTAAGGACTGAAGGTCGAGCGAACAACAGAGGTCAACAAATAGATAATTTGCGATGTGTACTAAAATACACAAATAAATTATGAATGATTAATGTAGGTATTTTTTCCAATTAAAAAAAAACTGCTTATTTATTGCCTTTAAGGCGGAACAGAGTTCGCCGGGTCATCTACTAGTATATATATAAATGTTTTTTTTAAATACTTATATGTTTAAAAAATTTTAAGTATTATTTATTTAATAATTATTTAATGTAATTATTAGGTATATTATTATTTTAATTTATTAATTTTTTTATTTTATATATATATATTTTATATTAACATATATAATATTTTTAGATAAAATAAATATATTTATAATTTATTATAATGTCAGTACCCTGAAGATGACTATAGACTATAGTTGAAATGTTGGTGAAAATAATATATAATTTTTAAAAATAATTTAAAAACTTTGTGAATTATATAAAAAGCTTCACATTTAACATTTAGATGACTATACACTATAGTTGAAATATTGGTGAAAACCTTTCTTTTTGAGCCTTTCTGAAAAATACAAAAAATAAATAAATAAAATATATTTAAAATTTTAAAAGTATTATTATTTTAATTTATTCATTTATTTTTGTATATTTTTTTTATATTTTGTTATTGAACGTATATATTATTTAGAATGCAATTATTAACAAACTTTTAGTATATATTTTAATATAATAATTATTTTAAAATTAAAATTAAAATTAAATTATTTATATAATACCAATCTAACAAATTGTGTCCTAAATATATCAATTTATGATATATTCATTTCATTTTAAAATACATACACACAAATGTATGGATTGTTTCAGTTAAAAGAGAACGACTCGCCTTAATATAATTTTAATTAATTTGCAACGCCATGCAAATCACAAAATACCCACAAAATTAAAATTAAATCAAAAATCACTTTGCAATTATGTCGACGACATGAATCATTTCGTTATATTTTATTTAATACAATTTTATGTAAAGCAAATAAAATTTATGTAGAATGTAAATTATTTCTTCAAATATTTTTTTTTTATATAAAGAAATTATTGTTTATTTGTATATGTTTGTGATTGTTCAAGTGTAAGTATATGCAAGCAAGTATTTGTTGGTGCTCTTAGAAGACAAACGTAAATTGTTGCTAATGAAGCATAACTAATGTTTTCGTTACACTCAGTTTCCTTAATGTTTGAATTTAAAGTGTCTACAAATTGGTCAACGCTAATCTTTGTCATTAATGCGGGGGCGTGTTCTGTGCAATATATCGGACAGTTTGATTATAACACGATTCAAGCAGAACGCAATTAACAGGCCACAAAAATAAATAAACAAATCATACGCATACAAACGAACGAACGAACTCAATTAGGCTTCCAACAATAAATAACGTTAAATGTTCATCATTTAGCCGTTTAAGCACATACATATTTATATAGTTACAGCCAATTGTAAGCGTTGTGCATGGCATTGGCATGCGCCATATTGGATTTTTGTGTGATGGGCGGAACAGTGCATACAAGTAATACAAGTTTTGGTGGTGCTTTTTGTGTGTTGGAAATGTGCGATTGCTTGCTGGGCATAGGGATTGTTTGTGTTCGTAGTTAATTCAGTTCAGTGTTGCAGCTCGTCGCTCAAACAATAACGAAACGCGTTGCTCTTGAAATTTAGAAACAATTTATTTAAAAATTTAATATTTTAATAAAATTTTTTAATGTATTGTGTAGTGTAACTAACGTTTTATAATATTTAAAAATATAATTTAGTAAAATATAAATAAAATTTATAAACGTGTTAACATGGAGAGTGCACATCAAGTTGGCGCTGATACTGGCAAGTTAACAAAATTTCCTACGCCATTTTCTATTGAAAGTTTAATAGCAAATCAAAATGTAACAAAAACGCTTGAAAGCAATAAACGCGATCGCGAAAAAGATGAGTTAAATGCACGCGCCATGGTGGCTTCATCTGCTTTAGGTCTAACAAATTTTCCATTGTACAATCCTTGGATACATGGTTATTTTGTACAAAATCACGATCGGTTATCACAGCTTATCACCAACGGTGGCTACCTGTCAAATATGAATAAAGAACAAATTGCGGATAGCAACATTCAAACCACAAAACAAAACCTTGCGGAGAATGATATTTCCAGGTTACCGGTAAATGCGTTGGAGAATCATTTTTTACTTAGCACACCGACAACAGCGCAGCTGTCTTCGTGTGATCCAAATTATCGTGATAAATTATTATTACAAAATCTAAATATTGGCGTCGGTAGTTCACATGCAAATTCTATCCGCGCTCACAGCCCGAGACAGAGAATGGCAACTGAGCTAATGAATGGAGATTATGTGCACAATTTAAGTTTGCATGCACGTCTACAAAATATAGGTAAAGTTATGGGTGACATGCCTGGAAACGAGTTGATGACAACCACCAGTATGCAATATGGTAGCAATTTTAGCTCCGGTAACCTAATAACAGACTCCAATTCAAAACAAAGTGAATGCTCTGAGCCTACGTTGGATGTTGGTATGGATGAGGATTTTGATTGCAGTGGAGACTCTTGCAGTGATATTAGCCTAACTATGTCACCGCAAAATTATAGCACTGATTTGGATAAGAGTAGAGGTAATTTCAAATGCTTGTATTGACAGAAGTATTTTTATTTTTTTATTGAAAGAGGTTTGAAGTTCTTTAAAACTTCCATATTTTTTAATTTAAAATCTATTTCTATTAGAATTATAGGTACGATATTATAATACTTATTATAATATTTACCATGTCTAGTAAATTCTGCTAGTCAACCTGATTAGTGACTTACTCTATCCAATTGATAGCATCGAAGGCCCACATGGACGTACTGTGCCATGTTTTCCACCACTGGATACTGAATCAAAAATATTACTAACCGAAATACGCTTAACTACGTTAATGTCGCGGTATACCTCATATAGGTCACTGCTTTATCTAATTCGTACCTTGTTGCCAATGCATGCAAAAAATTGTTCCAAAAATTGTTTAATCGCGAGCTTCTAATGTTTTCTCATCACTGTTGTTTGTAGTCTAAGCGTCTGCATCATACAACAGGACAGTCATGATAAGACGCTTGTAGAGTATGATTTTGAATTGTAGACTGAGGGCTTTATCTTTGAATTGCCTTCTTAGCATGTAGTAACAACGGTTGGCAAGAGTGATTCTTCGTTAAATCACTAGACTGACGTAATTTTTGTGCTGGTTCTTAATTATGCAAAGTCTTTCATAATTTAAAATTTATAGTTGTGAGTAGCAGGACGCTCAAGAAATTTGTTTGTTCACAGATAATATTTGGTTTTTTCCTAATTTATAAGAATTGTACTTGCTAATGTAAAAGATATATTTTAACTTGTTACAATGAACAGTTTTACGAACTGTATTTATTATTCAATTAAAGTGATATAGTTTCTGTCAATAAATATGTTCAAGCTCTTTCCAATCTTTGAGTTACTTTGTTACATTTTGATCTTCTAAACAAGCAAATGCACTGCAAACTTAATAAAATTTTTGAATGACAAATCATACCTTCAACTGCACAATAGATATTCTTGGTTCGGGTACTAAAGACCAAAAAGTTTTTCTAAGTATCCTCCGTAGAATAGTTGAACTATATAAAATGTAAAATGAAGATTCAAGTTCATATAAAGAAAGATTGCCAGGAAAAATAGTTTTATTAATGAATAGAATAGTTTTATTAAGATGATAACATAAGTCGAAGTAGTCCGTTAGAAAATGCTTTCCAATCTTAAATTGGTTATATTAATAAAAAGTACCCTTCTATTCACGATAATTTTTAATGCTTTTCGGATACCACTAAATAGTGGTTTCCAGTCAGCAATAGTCTCTAAAAAGTTTCTATCAATTAATATTGAACGTGCATTGTGAGGATTATTTCATAGCATAATTTTATGACTTCAACTTTCTTTCATAGTTAAAAGAATATTCTTATCATTACATTTTACGCTTTACTTGTATTTCTATAATTGTTAATAAGTTAAGTAAGATGTATCTCAAAAACTTTAAGAAATATACAAAATACATATTGTGATATAAGTTTATGTATTGTACATTTCTCACTCTTTTTATATATAAGTCACTCGCAAGTAGCTTCATAGCCAGCATAGCAGTTACAGGACTGATTGGTTTCAGTTATGGTACTTGAACTGCTATGCTGGCTATGAAGCTACTTGCGAGTGACTTATATATAAAAAGAGTGAGAAATGTACAATACATAAACTTATATCACAATATGTATTTTGTATATTTCTTAAAGTTTTTGAGATACATCTTACTTAACTTATTAACAATTATAGAAATACAAGTAAAGCGTAAAATGTAATGATAAGAATATTCTTTTAACTATGAAAGAAAGTTGAAGTCATAAAATTATGCTATGAAATAATCCTCACAATGCACGTTCAATATTAATTGATAGAAACTTTTTAGAGACTATTGCTGACTGGAAACCACTATTTAGTGGTATCCGAAAAGCATTAAAAATTATCGTGAATAGAAGAGTACTTTTTATTAATATAACCAATTTAAGATTGGAAAGCATTTTCTAACGGACTACTTCGACTTATGTTATCATCTTAATAAAACTATTCTATTCATTCATGTGACAGTTAAAAAGATTCATTGATCCTGATCACATCAAAGTTGATGCTATCCTTGGCCTTAGCAGAGACGATATTAAAATCTACATTGAACTTCTTACAGGACACTGTAGACTGAATTACCACATAAAGATTATAGGTGTGGTAGAAAGTGACTCCTGTCGAGGAGAATAAAACATCAGAACATGTTCTATGCAATTGCCCAGCGGTGGCAAGACGTAGACTCGATTACATTGGAAGCGGGATATTAGTCCCAAGTCAAATAGGTAAAATTAAGCCCACAGCAATTATAAGATTTATAAATAGTCTAAAATTGTCTTAGTTGGGCCTTTAGGCGCACAATAGATCTTTTAGGTCGGGGTGCTTTAATAGACTATTATTTAAATAATAAATAATATGTATAATTATAAGCCCGCTGAATGCTTTAAAAAAAATCACTTATTTCTTTTCTGCAAATCCTTTGATAAATATCTGTGGATTATTTTTAAGTAAATATATTTTTTAAAGATTAATCGAGGATTGTAATGTAAAAACATTGAGAGCTCTGGTCTTTCTCGCTTCTTTCGTCAATGTCTACTTATCTCTGTATAATATATATATATTCATTTTCTTTTTTTTTTTTGTAATTACGCATATCATATATACATACATAAGAAAAGCCGAAAACTGATTTTTAATAAAAAATTCAATATAAAAATTCAATTATAGATTTATAGTAAGGTTAAAAATTATTCACTATATCACTATTTCATGAAAATGTATTCTATTTCACTATTTCTAATGTATCACTAATAAAATGTATTATTTTTTCTAAGTGATAATAACTTAATTTTTGTTTGTATTTAGATTCCTATCAGCTTCCAGACCCGAACAATGAAACGCATTTAAATAAATAACAAAAATAAATTTAAACAGACGATAAACTACATCATATCAATAATAATTTAATTCTTTATTTCAATTTTTTATATTACCCGAAACTTATAATTTTCTTCCTGTTCGTTTTAACTTGATTCTATACATAAACCATTTAAACAAATCAATCGGGTCTAATGCTAATCAATTAGGTCTGACATAAAACCTGCTAAATTGTTTAATTGCCTCCGTTTAGTACAAAAACTCTGTGTTTTCATTATAATAAATGCATTGGTAATAATTAAAGTCATAATAATTGTTATTTAGTGTAATGAATTACATTTATCATTTATTGTAATAAATGGCCTTTATTATGATACAAATTTCAGTTTGAGCATACTGTTAATATAATAATCTAGAGAGATGAACTAGGGAAACAGGAAAAAATTTAGTTTATGTAAAAGATGTATTAATATAATAAAATACTGTGTTTTTATTGTATTATATTGTATTGTTGTACTTTTGAATGTTTAACATACTGTATATTATATATGTACATAAAATTCATATATATTTTTAATAACGAATATTCGAGCTCTCACTTTCCGGGGCGCCAAAATGTGGTCAGTGCGTAGTCATTATAATCCTCCCCGCACAAAAAAAATTACGAATATTTTGTATAAATTTTATATACTGGTAATTACCCAAAAGATCTTATACTAGATAAATTTAAATTTTAAAAGATAAAAAAAAATTAATAGTAAAGATTTTAATACCTTTACTAATATTATTTCCAATATTCGTTTTTAACGTATCCAGCTTCATACTTTTTGTTATCAATAAAAACATTTTGCTTTCAAAATTAAAAAGGATGCGGTTAATTAAGTTTATTATTCTTTAACTATGCTAAATAATTGAAATTAGCATAAAGGCATTAAAAGACCCATGTAGAGTGTCAATCATAAGATCTCAACTCTTGCATTGCTCTTCATATTCAACTGACATGTTGACACTTGCAGCTCAGTTTTTATGGTGGAAGGAGATGAAAACTTTCATTTCAACAAATGATTTCATTCACACTAACTGACGGCTATTTAAACCATGAAGCGAAATACAATTATGACGAACAGGATTTTTCTTTATTACATGTAAAATTCAACACTTAAATGGCCGCTTACCACTTACACTGTTTACCACGCAGCACTGCCACGCAGTACTGCCATGCTATACTGCCACCCAGCTTACGCATTAAAATAACAACTTTTTAATGTGAACTGAATAAATCAAAGCACAAACTTAATTCGAAAGTAGTAGCAATAGCAGTAGTAGCAATTGTTGTTGTTATTATTGTTGTTTCGTTAAAGACGAAACGAATTGAATTAAATATTCATAAGGCAAGCAGAGCTGCCTCATAGAAATTTTGTGGTAAGAGTATTCATAACTTTTTATATATATATGTGTGCATATTTATAAATAAAAATTTCGTTGTGTGTGTCTGAGAGTCGTTTCGACTGCTATTTATGGGGGTAAAAATTGTAATAGAATTATTATAGCGACACAACGGTAACATTAACACTTATGAAAACAATTTACTTGTTGGTTTACTAAATTTATAGTGAGCTACATTTTTCAAGTGAACTTAATTAGTTGGACACCAAAAGTGGTCCACTTTTATACTCGTAACTTATCGCATGAATTGGAATATTATTTTTGTTTAGTCTGTTGGTCGTGTTATAAGTAACTCAAGCAAAAAATGTCGTTCTTTAAAGATTTGCCTGTTTTTTATATTATATACAGATCTACTTAAAACTCATATTAAGTAGCATTAATATTACTTAGAACTAAACTTAAAATAAATTTGACGACTTTTTCTATTTTAAGTTGAAGATATTTTAAATATTTGGAATAGTTGCAGTAAAATATACTATATACGTCTTGTACCTGCATTTATTATAACTAACAAATGGTGTTGAGGAATTTTCTTATTTGTTTTCTTTCCTTATATTCTATTTATTTAATATATACTTTAAACATGTTCTAAAAATTCTATTAATTTTAGTGTTTTTTCTTAAATATGCAAAAGTGATTACTTATTGTTATATATATGGTATTTTGCACAATACTGTTTTATATGTTTTGCAATATTATATGAAGAATAGAGAAACCTGAAAACCTCTATTTTTTTTCCTAGTAATGGTTTCCTGATGAGTTTTGTGAAGATATACCATATATTAGAATTGACTGTCGAAAAGTTTTGTGTCCAATATAAAAAAAAAAGTTTTTCAATTTCTTTTTGTTGCTTATGTTTTTGACATAATTTCTTCATTTAACTAAAATTTTCGATCGATGAGCTTAAATTTCAATTTTGGGAAGGAAAAATTTTTGCTACTGGTGAGATTTGGTGGATAAGGAGTTTCAAAACGAAATTGCGAAATTTTACCTTTGACGTTTAACAAAGCAAAGCTAATGAATTGCTTTAATGAACCGAATATTTTCTTTAGAACATTTTTTAGTAACATATGCCGTTTTATTTATCCAGTAATGTGGTATAATCTGTTACAGTTATTATGCTACTTGTGGCATAATGTTGTATAATCTGTTCCAGTTATTATGCTACTTCTTTTGAGGTAATCCATTTGCAACCATTATAAACAACTGCTGTTATACCTTTCTCAACTGATAGCATTAATATTTATCATGTTTCATCAATAGTTATAGATTTACATAAACAGTTTATTTAGTTTCATTTAAATAGTTTTTACAGAACTTTATATATGTAATTCCGTTTTTAGTTCAAGATCAACAAATGCAACATCCAACTGTAATAAGCATTCTCAAGTACAAATTTTAATGTATAAGTATTTATCCTACCCAAAGAACATTATTAATTACTATTTATATATTTCGTAAATATATATAGAAATAAATATATAGCGAACCATGTTAGAAGATTGAATCTCGTTCTTAAATCATTTCTGTCGTGACTGTGGAGAGGTCAATGAAAGTGCCGCACATCTGCTTTGTTACTGCCTAGCGTATACGTTTCGTTTCGACGATTTACTATTTCAGGTGTTTCGTTTTTAAGAATTTCGACTAACTCCAAAATCTCCCTCTAAAGAGCATGTTAAGCTTTGTCAAGGTTCAAGGTGGTTTTTAAACCTTTGAGTTTCTTATACGGTTACACAATGGGCCAATAAGCCTGAATGAATTCTTAGAATCGTCGGTATAGTACAACATAATCTAATGTTTAATAAATTCTAATTATAAATATTCATTTTATCGAAACCATTACTGTTTAGTTTTTATATGAAAGTAGTGCACTAATGACAGTTGCAGTGACCGACTGCTTTTCTGCGCTTCTTACGGCTAATATGTGGTTAAGTTAAATGCTCCATACAAACATTTCGGCGATGCGATATAAATCAATGAAAGCTTAACTTAAGCATGTAAGTGTTAAAAAAGCAGCAACAACAAAGCCGTTAAGTCAAAAATTACTTAATTTGGTGATGATTGAATAAGTGAGTAGGGGAGGAAAGTGAAGTATAAAATTCGTAAAAGATACAAGTTTATCATTTTATTCAAATTTTGATAAAAGTTTTTTTTTTTGACAGACAAGCGAACCGTTTAACTTTTACGCTCAACTTGCGACAAAGTATATTAAGTATCAGCTCAGTTCAACAATGATTGCGAATCGAGTCGTGTCGTTGGTGGTTAAGATTGTTAGTGTTGGCGACAGTGGGGGTATTGACGATGGTGATGATGATGTAAATGATGCTATCATATTTGCCACAAGTTATGATACACCCCATTAACCCTAAACATAGCGTATGAATTCAAGATGTTGATGTTGTCAATGCCTTGTTACTGCTTTAAGCATTATTGTTGTTTCTGTTCTTGTTGTTGCTGCTGATGTTGATGCGCTTCTCTTAATGCCTTTTAGCATTTATTAAAAACAGGATATTGTGGGCGTTGCAACAATTTCGTTTGGCTCATGAATTATGTAGTTTTTTATTACTCTAGTTCATTACTTATTTATCTATTTTTATGACAAGAGAAACATATTTAACACTATATGACCCTGGAGCGGATAGAGAGATTCATTTAAGATGATGGTTTTTGAAAATTAATTCAAAGTTCATGTTAAATCATATAATTGAAAAAAATCATATTTATCTAGTGTAAAATGATCCGAAACTTTATAGGGGGTTTGAACTCCAAAATCTTTCACTGACATGTCCACTTAATTTGTTTTCATATTCTTTGTTTGATATTTCAATTCATTCTTTACTAAGTCTATTATAGTAACAGGGTAGTGGACTCCCTGTAACCATAGTTAACAATAGACTGTTCTAGTAAATAATAACAAAACTATTTGAAATTATTTATTTAACTAAAGATTAGAAAAAATTTACTACCATACCCGAAAAATATTAAATGATAAGAGCTACATAATAATCGCTTTAGAGTTTAATACAATTTATTATAACTTAACTATTATATTGTTGTAATTTTCATTATTTGCTCTTCAGACTGTTGTTAGTAGGGCGTGTGTTAATTTCACTGAAATTTTTGTAACATAATGCAGGAGTTGGTGGATCTTCTTTAGAACCGCTAATAGAAAAATCTATTTAGTGTTGTACACCTGTCTGTCTGTTTACATGTTAGTTGACAATCATTAAGTTTGACAGTATTAACCCTCTAGTTCTCAAGATTGTATTAACGTTATATATAAACTGCTAGGATAGTGACAATCATTATTACAATGAAACCATAAGTAATTTAATATTTTACGAAACAAAAAAATTTTATGATGCTAAATTTGAAAATTTTAAAATTTAAATTTAAATTAAATTTTTATTTACAAACTTTTCTCTTATATAGTGAATATATATAGTGAAAATTTAATTATAAATGAAAAAAATGATAGTAGTAAAATTAATTTGTAATTTACACGACTCACACGATCGATTATACAGTCATAATTTAAGTCAAAATACTGACTTAAGATATACTTAAGTCATCTTTTTTGCTGTCTTAATACATCATAAGTTGGTTTTGAGGCTGAAATTATGACATAAAATTGCCCTGTCATCTCTTTAAAACCGAGCTATCTTGTTATTTATTACTGTTTTTGTGTTTAGCGCCGAGTTTCATTCCCGGGCGTAAAGAATTAAGAATTTATTTTAACTTGACTCTATTAGTGACTTCTCTACTTATATCGTATTATATAATATAATTACTGTTATATATATAACACTACATGCATAACTACACGGACACATTCTTCCACCAACTACCGCTTCAAATACCTTTTTCGCTGAAGCATCTTCATCTATTCTCACGACATGACCAAACCATCAAAGATGCTGGATGTTAATTTGCTGAATTATATCAATGTCGTGATAAAGCTGGTACAGCTCGTGGTTTTTTAGGATGTATAAGTTATCGAACAAGGTTTATGAATTTACTGAATAAAAATCGTAAAGCTATCTTTCACAGTATTTGAAACTATATAAAATACCAACAATTTCTTTAAAAAATTTGGTTTAGTTAAGTCAATTTAGTTTAATTTGCACACAGCCTTAATATTATTTATTACAGTTCCTTCGTAATAACCTAGCATACATGATTAATATAGAAATATGTTTAATAATATTTAGTAATAACATAAATATCATATAATAATTACAAAATACAAACCAGATGTTGCAACAGATGGTTAGGTAATTTTTTCTATATTTTTATTTTTTTGATATATGAAGAACAATGTTATTGTGGAATTGTACTCAACAGTATCTAGATCTTTATACTACATTTTTACTATCTTTATAATATTTAATACAGTACTGCAGTGTTTTATAGCTGGGAAAACATTATTGAGAACAGTGAGTAATACAATACAAACGAGATATTCTGTTTGCTTAATCAATGTTAAGCTCCTCAAGGTCTATAATTTTTTTATAGCTGGAAAAAGAATGTTGAAAGCAGCGAGTAATACAATAAAAAAAGATGACTCCTCTATTTAATCAAAGTTTAGGTACTCAAGGTCTAAAACTTGCTCTCAAAAATTTTAAAGATTTGTTAGTTCTTCAATATTTATATGAACATTTTTCGATATGATATTGGTATCGATTTCTATGAAATATCAATATATGCCTTTTATATATATATAGAGACCAAAAAGAATCATCCGAGTATACTTTTGTTCTTAACTAAGAAGAATAAAAATCAAATTGTACATTTTATTATAATAAATCGATATTATTAACTAATTCCCAAAAAAAAAACTATATTACGAACTATACGAACTATAATAGATATCTAAAAAATCTAAAAACTCCATCTATCTAAAAACAGCTATAATTTGATATCTATCTAAAACTTCAGCTGTCTAAAAACAGCTACAATTTAATAATCAAATTAAAATGTCAATTAAATACCATATTTTTATTTTATCTTTTTATTTTTTTTTAACTGTTTTACAGCTGCAATTAATTCCACAGTTTTTGCAGATTATCCGCATTCAGACTCAGAGGATTGCACCGACGATGAAGGCAACTCAACTAATAACGATCTAAGTAAAGACGCTTCTGGTGGTTGTAGTAGCAGTAATTCTAAATCTCGACGCAGAAGAACAGCATTTACCTCTGAACAGTTACTGGAACTAGAAAGAGAATTTCATGCCAAGAAATATTTAAGTTTGACTGAAAGAAGCCAAATCGCCACGACGCTGAAACTAAGTGAAGTCCAGGTAATTTCAAAAAAATTTTAATAAATCAGTTATGGTAAATTTATATATATCGATGATAATTCGAATAGGTTAAAATATGGTTTCAAAATCGTCGCGCAAAATGGAAACGTGTTAAGGCGGGTCTGACATCACATGGCCTTGGTCGAAATGGTACAAATGGTGGCACAAAAATAGTTGTGCCGATACCGGTCCATGTAAATCGTTTCGCCGTTCGTTCGCAACATCAACAAATGGAAAAAATGTGTCTTAGTGGTCCGAAACCAGATCTGCGTAAAAAAATGCCCACCGATGCAAGTGGTTTTGAAAAATTTAATGGTGGCAACTTGGTTGGAGTTGCTGCAAACGTTGTTCCTAATGTGGTTAGTAATGGTGCTAATGTCGTGAATCAGCCGGCGGCTTTGATGGTAGCGGCTAATATGGTTGCGAATACCATGACGGGCTCATTGGCTTTAGCGCGTAGTATTTATTAAGAGTTTATGTTTCAATTAATATGATTTCCTTTAACATGTGTTTTGTGTTTTAAATATTTTAATTAAGTCACAAATTTTTAAATTATTTTTTAATTTTTTGATTTTAATTTGATTTAAGTTAACATTTGTGTAAGTTCAGTGTAAATATTTAAATTAAAAATAAAAAAAACTAATTTCTTTTGAAATTAATAACATATTTAATCGTAATAACTTTTTAATTTAGTTACAAATGAATGTATCTATAAGATTAAAATGCGGGGTTACAGTTTCCAAAGCGGACCAATTTGACGACGGAGTTTGGTAAAATTGGCTATTCTAAGATAATTTTTCCATAAGAAAATCACCATACCACTCTTTTTTTGTTAGGACAGTGTCTTTAAAAGCTTAGTGAATATATTATAAAATTTGGATATTGTTAAACTATAAAACTACTAGAAATTATACAAGAATTCTATACAAAAGCAGCATAACTTGCATATTGGTAGTAGTGGAGTGGAAGAGTCGGAAGAGTGAAGAAACAGTCGCTAGTTATAATAAACGTATTAGTTGTCACTATTAAAATAATCAGGTATATGTTAAACTATTAATTTCACTTAAAATAATGTAAGAGATTAAGAGATATAGATAAAAAGATCAATTTAAATATGAATTTCTTATCGTATAAGCTTGATTCTATACGATGAAAAAGTGCACATATGTATAATTATTATAACATAATACCATATTGGATGATGTAGTTAATATAGTATTGTAGATCTCATTATATCCCATTTCCTTAACTATGAGTATTCTATTACTCACCTTTAAGTAAGCTTAATTACTTAGACGCAAAATTGTTTTAAACTTAAAAACTTTTGTTCTATAAACATCCGTTACACAATGCTATTAAAATTCTTTAAAATACAATTCATGACATTGACATTTGGTTTAAGTTTAATATACAATCAAAATAATATTAACAAATATTAACCGTCATTCTTATAAGAATTTGAAGCTGAACCTTGTCAGGAAAAACAGTTCTAATATAGCATAGTAGTCTTTTGTCCTACAACTAACCCTAAGTAAAAAAAGATACTCAGCCTACCGAATGAAGGCCGTTGAAAAGTTCCTAATATCTGATGGGTTATTCTCGGTTAGACTAGATAAAAAACAGCAGTCATAATAAGTATGATTAAAAGTTTCATTCAGTTTTAGGTATAAGAGACATTCTCGTTGGAATATGTGTAGCTACCCTTTTCTTTTTAAATGATTTAAAACTATTATGTGATTGATGTTTAGTATCTCTTTTATCTCTTGACAGCTTGTGTGTCGGTCTTGCTCCACCAGCAGCAAAATTTAATCGGCATTTTTAGTGACATCATAGCGTTCATCATCGCATCATAGCTTATTGTAAGTCCCATAAATTTGTCGGGTTGTCGGGAGTACTTTTAGTTTTTTAGTAATAAAGTTTTATATATCTTTAGATATTTTACAACTGCTGGATATAATTGGATTAGTGTTGTTAGATATATCGACATCAATATTATTTAGTAATAAAAAAGGCGGATGTTTTCTACATTATACGTTATATTAATTTTCTATATATATCTATATTTTATCTATCTAGAAAATTATAATAGAAATTGATAATACATAATACAAATTGTTCATAATATTATGTGTCATTATAGACAGATAACTACTATAAATAGTTATCTGTTACTGTCCTAATGTATATTCTAAGGCTGGGCTGTTCAACGCACGACCCACGGGTCTTATGCGGCCTGCGACGTGTTTCTAATCTATATATCTATTATCTATTAGGCAAAGTTTTTTTGTTATATTTTGTTAATATTACATTATTTTATATTTATGGTATCCCAAGTAAATGACTTAAAATGTTTTAAATACTGTATTACACTTTAGGTTAGCTAACTAAATTGACAAAGACTTTAGTATATACTTCTTGATGCAACGCTTTGAAAAACTGATATCCAGTGCCATACGTCATTCCATTACATTAAACACAAATTATTTTTCGTATGAAACTTCATCAGACTAAGCAATAATTGACATCAGATCTGCATACCTCCCCGAGGAGCCTGTAACCATTCTGAGATTCGATAACGCGGTGTTGGTAAGCCTGTCAATTCGTGAATTTCGTGACTCTATCCTTTATGTATTTTTTGATCGGATCAATCTTAAGGTCCCTGAGGACCTTCGACCTCTTCAGTGATTTGTATTGGCCCACGATATTATCTTTTCTGGACAGTCCTGTTATAAAATACAGCGATTAAGTATACCAACTCTGAGTGTTAAAAAATATTGTATATAATATATTATATATGTATAGATGATTAAGTTGATTAAGAATAATTATGATTTTTTAAATCCAACATATAAGAGATCTATGGTTAGACAAACTTACAATCTAACTTTAATTAGTTTATTCATTGTTTATTAGTTTAGTTGTATATACAATATACTATTATATATATACTGTTATTCAAACACAATCCTTATATTCAGAATCGCTTATTTTAAACATATGAAAAACGTTCAGAATATTAATTTTTCACAAAAACAAAAAATTGAAACTTACAATTATTGGAGTATTTATAGATTAGGGTAACTAAAAAAACACAAATTACTGCTTTCGATATAATTGAGTTTGGAGTGTCCATTTGGGATTCGTTACGTTATTGACATCGTTTTGAAAAAGTCAACTGCACATGAAATCCATATCAAATTGTGCAATTTAACGCACCAAATTGTAACAATATCTGAAAAGGATATAGGAAAAAAAATTTATATGATTTGCTCTCTGTAATTTTCCTTATAATGCGTTTATACGACAGAGGCGTACAAATGGTTAAACAAAAATGTAAAAAAATATAAAATATATATATGAGCAATGTGTACTTGCAGTTGATCCTTTTTATCTACGTCACTGCTGTAACAAATTTAAAGGATAGAATAACAAGCATAAAAATCCTCACAGAGTCTCATTTAGGCTCATTTACAGCGTAATGCAAACAATCACTCCAGGTGTCTCACGTGTCACGCCTTCTTTGTGCGTTGCATTAAGAGTGAAAGGGGCTCACTAAAACACTTTCCTAATACAATAACTGAGTCCCTCTGATTGAGGTTGACTTATTAGCTGCATAATTTGTGTTTTGCGTTTAAGTGTGCGTTCACTCACACAGATTTGTTGATTTCTGATTTCTAATTGTGCGCATATTTGCAGGATTTACAAATTTTATCCTTTGGGTAGGCATTTGCGTGTGCCCAGGCAGTGTGATCTTGACTTTCGTTGTTCACTTTGTAAATCTAACAAATTGTTTTGTTGTTGTTGTTATTCTTTTTATTTAAAAACGCAGCTATTAAGGATACAACGAATTGAGCATCAATTTACAAATTCAAACAAGCTGCACCGCAATATTAACAACAGTCTCAACACCCAGAAGCACAGCAGTTGAGAAGCACAGACCTGACTATGTCTCTGTAGAGGCAAGAGCAGAGGCATTGAAAGGAGCAACCCTCCTGAAATATATTTTTGTATCATCAAAGTGCAAAACGCATACAAAGTATTTAATTCGTTTTTGGTTTTATGTGTTGCGGCACGCCTCCTCGTAGCGAAATCTGTTCTTATTTTTCGTCATTCATTTTTATTGCTTTGTAACACTTCGGTAATTTGTCGTACTTGGCATCTGGGAGATTCTCTAGTATCGCAGCCAGTTAATTCATTTTCTATTCTTTCACATATGCACATATACTCGTATTCCCTCTCCGCACTTCGCATGCAGTGTTTTTGTGGGAAATTTAAACAAATTTGTGTACTTTGCGGCGGTTTTTCATTCATCAAATTTTTAATTACGACACCACACAGAGGAGTACATGGGCGCACAATAGCGAGAGAGGATTTGTGAGATTGAAAACCTATGATTTTTAAAAAGACAATTAAAATAATATATATTATTCCAATTAAATTAGAATGATTTTATATTATACTGTGCAATGAATATTGAGTTTTTGGAACTTCAGTTCTTGTCTAACTCTATATAACAATAATGTATTATTCTATAATACATTAAAAATAATTAGAAATTGTGAGTTTCAGTTGAATTCAATTAGAACTTCAGGTAACCGTATTGTTACTGCTATCATTAATTTTACAAACAAAAAAAAGGCAATAGTTTTTCCTTACTATATAAACAATAAAAAAATAAAAGAAATCCAGTCAAAGTAGTTAATTCAAAATTTTTGACTGCAATCTTAGCATTTAGTACATCTAAAATGTAGTTTTTTTAAAATACGGAACCTAACATACAGACAAGGTACCCATTGCAATAAAATAGAAGTTAATACCATAAGAGGCGATATCATAGGTCTAATTAGAGTCTCTATACTGGTAGATGAAGTGGAAACAGGAACGAATGCTCCTTAATAGTTAAGAAAGTTTTTTTTATTCCACATTTCTCGTTATTGTGAATAGAAGAATGGACACATTAGAACCAACTGGACGCATTACTATATGTAATTACGTATGTTGAAGAAAAGAGCTTAACTCTGGTTCTGGCTCAATTGTGACTTAAGTCTTGACTCTTAATTACAATCCTTAAATCCGCTTTTATATATTAAATTACAAAATGATCGCAATATTAGTTAGTGTCTGTTTGTGCTATCTGTTTATTTTGTTGCACGATATTTTGGTTTTTAATGTACTATGGTGCATGCATGTTCATTCAATTTAAAATCCTTTTTTGCGAATTTCTAACTCTTCATTCGCTCTGTTTCTTCATAATGAAATACCCTAATAAAACTGAATGTTCATTACGTTGTTCAAAATTTCATTTCACCTCAATTTTCTTATATATCTATTTACTGCACTTTTTCTACACTGCCTGATAATGAATGATTTATTAGGTTGCAATTTTATTTTTAAATAAAATTTCAATAAAAAATATTTACTTGTTTATGTTATATTAAAAACAAAATATCAACTTAAAAATTATTTCAGTTTTAAAAATTATGTGTGATATAAAACCTAAAAACAATTAGATATGTAATGATTGGATGGTATTTT